GGAGAAGTTTAAGGGAAGGGATTAAGTGCTTTGTGTGTCTGTGTTGTGTGCCTTCATCTGTGCATGGGTACATGTCTGTGTGGAGGCCCAATGTCAATGTTAGGTGTTTCTTTCATTGCCCTCCACTCTATTACTGAGGCAGGGTCTCTGAGTAAACCCGGAGAACACAGATTCAGCCATTCAAGCGAGCCAGCTTTCCTAAGAGGATCTTCTTTCTGTCTTCTGAGTGTTGACATTGTAGATAGACCACCACACCCACAAACTTTTATGTGGGTACTGGGGATCTCAACTCCAGTGTTATGCTTGCACTTCATCCATTGATCCTTCTTGGGTTTTGATTTTTTTGAGACAGGTTGTCACATAACCAAATTGATCTCTAACTTAATACTTAACTGAGGATGACCTTGAACTTTTGGTTCTCCAGCTTTCCACATCCTGGGATTATAGGTATGCTTCACCACACACAACTTATGAGATATTCTTAAATGTATGTGATGAGAGTCCAGGAAGAAAGGAGAGAAAACAAAGCAGATCCAGCATTTTAAGAGATGGTGGACTGCACATCAGATCTTAAGTGTAAAACTCTTTTAACATAAAATAAATACAAAGAAAACACAATCTAGATGTATAGTACCCCAATCAAAAGAAAGATACAATGTCTTAAAAGTAGTTTTAAAAATGTGTTACTGAATATGTTAAAGCTGTAATGAAATGCTTCTTGTAATTATGTGGTTATTAAATTTTAAAAAAATTTAAAAATTTACCCAGAGGAGCAATGCAACCAGGACAGTTGGTTTCTGAACAAAAATAGTGGAAGCCAACAGGTAGTAACTAGGTGTCTCTTAAGTGTAACAAGAAAAGAGAACCAACCAAAAATTTTCGCTAAACCCAGTGAAAACACTGTGTTCAGAAGTGAAAATGTTGGGCTGGAGATATAGAGAACTTGCTTACCTTATGCAAGGCCCTCAGTTTAGACATTGATACTATAAAAAAGTGTTGAGAAAAAAATGTTAAGACCAACAAAAACAGAATTCAACTTGGCAAATCTGTGTCAACAAATGCTAAGGTAAGTTTTTAGGTGGAAAGAAAATGGTCTTGCATGAAACAGAAGTCTTGGAAGTAATGAAGAACAAAGAAAAGAATAGCATGCACAAAAGTAAATATACACTAAATTTCTAAAAAGCACTAGAAATACTGTAAAAAAATATATATATCTGAAAAACTTAAAAAAGGACAGTAACATGGGGAAAGTTTTATATACATGTTTTTTTGTTTTGTTTTTTGGAGACAGGGTCTTGCTGAATAGCCCTGCCTGACCTAGTATTTGCTGTGTTGCCCATTCTGACCTTGAAATCATAGCAATCCTCTTGCTTCAGCTTTGCAAGTTAGTTCAGGATTACAGACATGTGCAACCACATCAGCAAAAGGAATTTGGTCTTTTTTTTGTTTTTTTTTTTTTTTTTTTTTTTTTTTTTTTTTTTTTAGGACAGGGTCTCCCTGTACTTCCAGCTGGACTGAAACTCACTATGTAACCCAGGCTGGCCTTGAACTCACAAAGATCCACCTGCCTCTGCCTCCAGAGTGCTGGGATTAAAGGTGTAAGCCACCATGCCTGGCTAAAGTAAATTATTTTTATGTGATAGAAGATCTGAAGACAAAAATAAAACAGGTTGTACAAAAAAAATAGATTGATAAAGCCCATGTATATTATTCTACTACATACTGCAAATAACAAAGTAAAACTAATTAAAATCTTATATTTACAAAGACATGTAAGTAGATAGAACCCTATCAATAGGAAGATAGATACACTCTAAAACAGGATGAATTACTTCAAATAAAGATGTTTCATATTGATGGAAGAATCATCTTATCTAATGTTATAAGTCTCTAGTATTACAATTTCAGTGCCTGGCAGACAAAAATTCAGTAAGGATGCAAATTATATGAAAACTTGTTACAATTGTAATGTACTGATCACTGCATCCTGCAACTGCTTAGTAAACATTCTTGTCCAAGTGTACATGGGACAGTTGATAGAACTGACTGTATGCTGAAAATATGGAGAACATATTCTCAACAAAAAGACAATCCTCAAATGTTTCAAAATTTAACAAATGTTTCTAGATTACAATAAAAATGGGAAAATATTTTTATAAATGATAAAACTGTGGGGCTGGAGAGATGGCTCAGTGATTAAGAGCACCGATTGCTCTTACAAAGGACCGATGACCCAGGTTTGACTCCCAGCACCCACATGGTGGCTGTCAAGTGTCATTAACTCCATTTCCAGGGGATCCAGCGCCTTCTTCTGACCTCCATGGGCACTGCATTACTACACGAAGGCAATACATTCATACACATAAAAGTAATAAAATATTTTTTAAAAACTGACATAGAAGAATTATAAGGTACTTTTATGGTTATACTTAGAGGACAGTCTTAGTTTTAAACCCATAAATGATAGAAAAGGTATGACTAGAAATAACTATAAACCTCTGTCTCAAGAAGGTAGGTGGTAAGCTCAGCAAATTATATCCAAATAGAGTAGAAGAAATAATAATTATGAGGAACAAATTAAAGGCCATTTGTACAATGTAAAAACCTGCAAAACAAAATTTTGGTTCCTGGAAAAGACAGATTACGTGTAGAAAATTTTTTTTTTAATATTTCTCTTTACTTTTTATATGAGTATGCATGGTGAGGGGGTTCACATGCCACTGTGTACATGTGGTGCTCAGAAGAAAACTTAGGATTGTTGGTTCTTGCCTTCTATCCCTTTGATCCCCAGTAGTTTCTGGGGATCAAACTCTGGTTGTTAGGCTTGGCTTCGACGACCTTTACCTGTTGTAACCACTTGCCAGCTCCAAGAAAAAGAATTTAAAAAAAAATAAATTGCTAATACCAATAAAGAAAATGTAGGCATTGCAAAATAGACAACAGAATAAAAGATGTTTGCAGTATATAGTCGTGCATGTAAAGCAATTTGGCAGAGGCCAGATACTCAGCTTGCTGATTTGACTTTACTATGTATCATCTTTTATATATCTTAACAGTCATGCTTTGGACAATGATGTATCACATAATAATAAGCATATTATTCTAGTTACTTTCTGCTGCTGTGATAAAACACTGACCAAAGCTAACTTGAGAGGAAAGAGTTTATTTCAACTTACAAGTTACAGACCATTGTTGAGGAAAGCCAGGGTAAGAACTCAGGGCAGGAATCTGATGGCAGGAACTGAAGCAGAGACCGTGGAGGAATGCTGCTTACCAGCACTTTGAATATACTCTCTGTTTGCACAATAACAAAATCATCTAATAATGAATTTCTTGGACTATATCTGTGCTGGTTAGTTTCCATCAACTTCTCATAAACTAGAAGGAATCTCACTTGAGGAATTGCTTCCATCAAACTTGCTTGTGGACATGAGGCATTTTCTTGTTAACTAATGTAAAATGGCCAGCCCACTATGGCCAGCGCCACTGCAAGACAGGTGGGCCTGAGCTGTCTAAGAATAATAGGTGAGTGCTGGGGTCAAACCCAGGGCTCCATGCATGCTAAGCCAATACTCTACCAATTGAGCTACATGCCCAGCCTTTTCTGTTCTGTCTCTTCTGTGTTTCTATTAATTAACCCAAATGTGTTGTTTTACTTATCTCCACATGGTGACATCCATGTTAATTTTGGGGAATGGGCTATCTCTTAGTTTTGATTCTCTGTTATCTAGCACATAATGATGAATGTACAAATGAAAGTCTAGAAAAAGCAATTAGATTAGTTCAAGTAAGGTCTTAAATATCAGTCTCAAGGATACATGCACTTCATTTTAATTTATAATTTATACTAGGTAGCCACTGAAAATTTCTGAGGATAGTAAGGCAGATTGCAGGTATAGGATATGTTAAAAGCGGAGAAAACTGATTTAGGGAAACTGATCTTAATACTGTTAGAGCAGTTCAAGGGAGCAGTGATACACTTTAAAGTAAAATGATGAGACTCAACTAAGAAGAGAAAGTTTATAGGAGTGTGCCAGGTGACTAAAAGCTTGGCTACTGGTTGGATGAAAGTTGGAGGAAAAAGTGGGTTAGAGGCAGTAGGTATAGCAGATGGTAAGAAGTTTCTGTCTGAGATAACAGTTGCCTTTCTGTGTGAATTACTTCAAATTATCTTAAGAATAAGTTGTTTTGTTGTAGACACTTAAACTACAGTTGCTAGGCTGTGGGCTGTGGTATTAGATAACAGTATTGGAACCAGTGAAGAGTTCTAGACTAATCATAGCCAGTCTGTGTGTGTCTGTCTTTGGCTTAAGAAGTCAGCTGAATTTTTCTGATATTTTTGGGGGGTTCTTTTTTGTTGTTGTTTTTTGTTGCTGTTGTTTTATGTGTATGAGTGTATTTCCTGCATGTAGGTAGGTGCACCTGTGTTGTGCAATGCCCTAGGAGGTCAGAAGAGGGCATTGGAGCCTCTGGAACTGGAGTTAGGCAGTTGTTTGCCACCATGTGAGTGCAGAAATTGAACCCGGGTCCTATGCAAGAGCAGCCAGTGTTCTTAACCATTGAGCCATCTCTCCAGCCCCAAGTTTTTGTAAATTTTATCTTTGAAACAACATTCTTATACTTCGAAAGTTACTGACAACACTAATTTTTTTTTTTTTAATCAGTGGGTTTTCTAATGGCATATAGTAAATGTTCAAGTTCTTTGTATTCCAAAACCCAACTCCCCTTTCCATACCCAAGCTCATTCTTTGCTGGAACTAACTTTTGACAGGATGGAAACTAGCTGCCCATCACCACTGCCTCCAGTCTCCACTTGTTTTCTTTTGTGGATTTTCAGCTGAAGATTGAAACTAATACTTCACTAATTCATACTTTTTAAACTAATTCCATTTTCTCTCAACTCTTAGAATTATCTGAATAAAACTTTGGGGAAATAAAAAAGTAATTGGTTGTATTCTGTAAAGTTGGAATGCATTTAGAAACATTTATCTTCCTTTTAGTATGATCCAGAGCTGTCATCTCGACAATTTGGAGTTGAACTGTCCCGTTTGACTAGTGAAGACCGAACTGTTCCTTTAGTAGTGGAAAAGCTCATAAACTACATTGAAATGCATGGACTTTATACAGAAGGTATTTACCGAAAGTCTGGTTCAACTAATAAAATCAAGGAACTTCGACAAGGTTTAGATACAGGTAAGATAGTGCCATCCAAATCAAGACCTAATATTTTTATTTAAATAAACTTTCACACTCTTAAAGTTTTCATTATATATTGTTCCTATAAACTTGGAGCCAATATCTTTTCTGTGGTACTTGTTTGCCATTTATGAGTCTTTGGCTATATATAGTTAATTCATCAAACATGTCTTGAGTGAATCATTTTTACAAAATATTGCTAGGTACTTGAGACAGATATCAGTCTGTTTAACAGACTTAATAAGATCTTGATACTTTTTGTTTGTTTTTTTATTGTATTTATTATTATTTTATGTGTATGCATGTATTGCCTGCATGTAGGTACGTGCACCCATGTTGTGCAATGCCCGCGGAGGTCAAAAGAGGCTGTCGGATCCCCTGGGACTGGAGTTATGGACAGTTGTTAGCTGCCATGTGGGTGCTGGGATTCGAACCCAGGCCTTCTGCAAAAACAACCAGTGTTCTTAACTGCTGAGCCATCTCTCCAGCCCCAAGATCTTGATACTCTTAATTTATGAAGAAAATTAGGCTCAGGGAGGTTAATAGATTGTTGATACAAGGCAACAAAGATTTTTTTTAGAAACAACTGTGTAAATTAGGGGTATTATTTAATCTTAATTTACAGGTAAGAAGAGATGCCTACAGAAGAGCTTATGTAACTACTTATTGACCAATAAGTGACCATGTTGGAATTTAATCCAATATTTTCTGACTCCATAATCTAAAGTACTGCATATTTTTCTGATTCCTAGTGATATTATTTCCAGTGGATCTTCTGCTTGCTTACATTGAGGGACATACTTAGTTAAGCTGATAAGTGAGTTGAGCACTTGTCTGTGTAGGGCTTAGTCCTGGACTGTGTGCAAGGGCTTACCTTTGATTTCATTTTCAACTCCTGTTCTTTATTATTGTTAGAAAGGAATCATTCTTTTTTAACCAAACAGATGAAAATACAAAGCTTGTCTTTGTGTGTCTAAGAACCTACTTACCTACAATAGTTTTTCTTGGGAACAAATCAGTGAGAAAATAATTAGCATGAAAATAATAGAAATGTCTGACAAAGCTCAAGCAGTAAGTCCTGCCTGCCAGAGCTTGTTCTACTCCAGCTTACAGGCATTTGCCAGGTTTGCCTCTTGAACTGTGATATAGCACAGATGAAAATCAATCATTCTATATTTTCCTAAGTAATAGCCTTAAGAAATTTATAAGCAAAACAGGGCAGTGTTTCCATGACATTTCCTAAGTTCATGTATCACTGTTTTTTCCTCTCCAAGAGTGACTAGAAGCCAGCCTGCCTTTTAGAAAATGTTTAGGCCTTTCTTCCTTGATCTTCTGAAGTATTGGTTCTCAAGAGTAAGGTATATGGACCAGTCTCCAGTAAGACAGGCACAGAAATTGAAAGAAGCATTTAGAAACTTTCATAACAGTTTGATTCTTCCATCATCAAAACATGTGATCTTTTACATTTGATGTCACAATAGATTTAGAAAACAAACACATAAGCACTGTTCCCAAGCATGGAGTCAGATTGTGGAAGATACACATTAGTTTAATTAAGAAACCAGAGGCTGTATATATGTATTTATGTTTCTGTTTTTTGTTTTGTTTTTTTGAGACAGGGTCTCCCTGTAGCCCCAGCTAATCTGGAACTCACTATGTAGACCAGGCTGGCCTTGAACTCACAGAGATCCACCTGCCTCTGCCTCCCAAGTGCTGGGATTCAAGGTGTGCACCACCATGCCCGGCCTGAAGGCTTCTTGTAGTGAATTCAATTGTTTGAATCTTTTGGGTTAATTTACTCTTATCTCTAAATAGATGCTGAAAGTGTAAACCTAGATGATTATAACATACATGTCATTGCAAGTGTATTCAAACAATGGCTTCGTGATTTACCCAATCCACTCATGACCTTTGAACTCTATGAGGAATTTCTTCGAGCTATGGGTAAGCACAGGCTTCTTGGATTTGAAGGAGGGCCTGCACTCCTTGGTACTTGTTCCTTGATAAAGCAATGCCATCTTTAGTACCCATTATTAAGCCATCTTATAGTGGTTTAGCCTTTATGGGTCCCAAAATAAGTTTTTGACAGTCAGTATAAAACTGCCAGTGTATTGTTACCTATTCAAAAACTGACTTTTTTTTTTTTTTTGGTCTTTTTGAGACAGGGTCTCCCTGTAGCCCCAGCTGTCCTAAAACTCACTATATAGACCAGGCTGGCCTTGAACTCACAGGGATCCGCCTGCCTCTGCCTCCCAAGTGCTGGGACTACAGGTATGCGCCACAACACCATAGACTCAGAATGTCATGTTCCAAAAGTTTCTGAGTGTGCCACTTTCCTGCTTCTCACAAAGTAATTGAAAAGTGAGGATTATAATACATGTTAAAAATCTACCTCAAGGTGTTTAGGACCTGAGGATTTATAAATATATATTACAGTTGGTTAATTTTAATGAGAAATCAGTCTAATGACTGAAAAACTAGAACATCTCAGTCTTTCTTGCTATAATCAAGTGCTACTGAACTGTAGACTAAACCTCAGAAACTGAAATACAAGGAGCCAGGTGCCATGAGTTGCTCTTCTGCCTCTCCCAAAACTGGAGCCACCTTCCTCTGCTATATAGTTTCTCTTCAGGAGCAAGATGCATTATGTAAGAGATATTCAGTCTAATGTACTGTTCTTAACCATTTTTAGGCCTTCAGGAGAGAAAGGAGACAGTGCGTGGTGTATACTCTGTAATTGATCAGCTCTCCCGAACTCATCTCAATACGCTGGAACGCCTCATCTTTCATCTAGTTAGGTAACTTCAAGAAGCAAGGAAATACTTAACAATTTCTCCCGAAGTCTTTTTAAATGAAGAACTTCAATTTATGAAGTCAGTACCCTGCCTGGGAATGTAGCTCAATGGTAGAATGCTAACCTAGCGTGCATAGCACTCTTGGTGTGATTCCTACCACTGCTTTTTTTTAAAATTTAATAACCACATGATTAGAAGAAGCATTTCATTACAGCTTTAACATATTCGATAACAATTTCCAGAGCAAAGATACATCTCTTTCAAAAGTAGCTGTAAATTTTTAGGTTCACAGTTGAATTAATATAGTTACACATGGGCTGGAAAGATGGCTTAGCAGTTAAGAGAGAGCACTGACTGCTCTTCTTCTAGGACCTATGGTCAATTCCTAGTACCCCATATGGCAGCTAACAACCGCCTGTAACTCCACTTCAGGGGATTCAATGCCCCTTTCTGACCTCTGTGGGAATTACACAACAGACATATTTACATATATGCAAGCAGGACATTTATATACATACAATGAAAGTTTTTAAAATTTAAATTAAAATTTTTTTTAAATGGGTGGTTAGGATTACTTCAAGCAGAAATCCATTAAGCCTAATGCATCTGTTTTAGCTGTGTAGCAGCTCCTAGCACTGTATAGCTTAGCCTCTTTAACTCCTGAACTGGAAAGGGTATGTATGTGTGGACAGAAATGTTGTGGGTGCTGGGTTCAAAGAATGCTCAGGAGGCTTCAGAGTAAGCTGTCTTCCAATGTGTAAATATCAGCCTAGGATGGGGAGAAGACCATCTTTCTGGTTAAATATGTGATATATGGGAAATACCTTAAAATTTCTATCCTACATTCTTCAGGCATGTTCATCAAGTGATACTAGCTTTAAGCAGCAAGTCACAGATTTCCCTTGCTAAGCTGTATGTTGACCTATGACCTGGACTGTTTCAGGGAATAGAGTAAAAGTACATTTTCCAGAGGCAAAGGAACAGTTTTCCGGAAGTGTACAGTCTCCCTTAAACTTAAATGGTACCCGCCACATTGTGTGGTTGTCGTACTGTCTATCTCACTTCTGCCTGCTATTCTTCCTTTTTATCCCCTTTTCATTTGTTTTGGTTTTAGGATTGCGCTACAGGAAGACACTAATCGAATGTCTGCTAATGCTTTGGCCATTGTGTTTGCACCTTGCATTCTCCGCTGCCCTGACACCACTGACCCACTACAAAGTGTACAAGACATCAGTAAGACTACCACGTAAGGCTAGCCACATTCACCTCTACAGGACCCCAGGGACTTCTGACTGAGTTGGTGTAGTCCATTTTATCCACATATCAGACATAGTGAACAATTTCATAAGTTCAAGTGTCTTTAAGATTGTTGGACTCCATTGGGTATTCTAAATCTTGCTTAAATTTAGGACTGCTTATAGTTTCTAAATAAAATTTTCAAGTTCTATTTTCTCAAATGATGTATACTTTATATCTTCTTATAAAATGTGCAGTCTATTAGCAGTCTAATGACTCTGAATCCCTTTGATTGCTATACTTCAGTATTCTTTTATTTCACCCTGATTTTTATCTTGAGCATCTGTTATCTTCTAAACTTGACTGCAAAGTTTGAAAAATGCCAAGGTTTGAATCCTATCCCCTAAAAGTCTTAATTTAATAGGTCTGGGCCTTTTGTGTTGGGATTTGATTTCTAGTATGTAGACAAAGTTGTGAACCATCATTCTCAATCTTCCTGTCTTTGAACTCATAAAGTAAAAGATGTTGATTTTTCCTTCATCCTTCAGCTATCTTGGACACTTAGCTAAAAAGTAGGCTGTGGGTGCTACACTTTATTTGATTTGCTTCTCTTTTTCTCATATTTCAGCTGTGTGGAGCTGATTGTTGTAGAACAGATGAATAAATACAAGGCTCGCCTTAAAGACATCAGTAGCCTGGAATTTGCTGAAAATAAGGCAAAGACCAGACTATCACTGATTCGTAGATCAATGGTAAGATATGCAACATGGAACCACAGTGAAAAAATAATTAATTGGGAGTCTTCCTGGGATTTTAAATGTATTTGTGATATATATAGGAATTGTTCTCAGAATTTTTTTTTTCAGAAGGAACAACTTTTTAAAAATTGACCAAATTTCAGGGTTCTATGAATATCTGATATTTGATAATTTAGCTAGTTTTAGTTATATATTTGAAGAATTTTTTAAATGAAAAATTTGGATTAAATGTTGGTGGCTTATAATCCTTCCTTTTTACTTTTCCTGTGTATCCTGTGAAAGCTTAACTTTATCCTAACTTCTTCCTCTGTTCCTCTGTATCCTCCCAGCATCTTTTCCTACCCTCAGCTGTGTCATTTGGGTGGTTCTGTCAAGATTCTTGGCAGTAGAGAACTTAATCATTTGTAACTGATTTGAACTCAAACACTTGATTCATAAGGAAGTGGAATTACGAGTCTACTGTGATCAAATAAAGAACTGTTTAGGAACTTTGTATTGGGTTTTGAGATGAGCCTAATGATTATTTTCTTCATTCAGTAACTTTTGCATTTAATGTTTTCCATTTTAGCTAGTAACCATTAACTATATAGAAAACTCCAGTTACCGTTAACCTAGTAGTAGGATCTGAGGTTCTGGGATACAGTTGATGTATTAAAGTTTAATAATTGCCTATCTGTTACCATTCCTTTCAGTTGTAAAATAACAGTGGAACAATGGACACCTACTTCAGATTCCCAGCAAACTTATAAAAAGCAGTAGCTTCCCCCATTATCATACCCATAATTTTCTAGGGGCTTAGCAAGGCTTCCTCCACATCATATAATGGGGTAGGATAGGAGAGAGGAGATGGGAGGAAGAGAGGGAAACAAGAAAACTCTGAATTTTCAGGTCAGTACTGAGAGGCCTAATTTATTAGTACCCATATAGAAAGGAGAGCTTTAAAAAAAAAAAAATAAACTACAAAACTACTTTTCCTAGCAAGTGGACAAAGCTGTGCTTTTTTTTCCCTCGAGTATTCCACCGAAAGATTAAACCTTCTCTTTTAATGGGGCGATGACATGTACATTCTAACCTTCTGCTTTCCTTTTCATGCCCTTCCTAATCCAGAAACCTGTACTAATTGCAGTTAGATTTATGAGCATTACCCGCAGTTCAGTCTCGGTATGTATTAATATTGCAGCATGTCACAGTCACTTCACATTACTGTCTATCATTCACCCAGGAATTGTTCTGCTCTGTCAGCCATTCGTGCCTGTCTGCCTTCCATGTTCAAACCCAGTTCAGATCCCACCTTTGATCAGCCTTCACTTGCCTTTTTCTTAATCTCTTTCTTTAGGTCATTTGTTTTCCTTTTTTTGTATTGTACAGTTGAACAATGTTCATTTAAAATATACTGTTGTTTCTCCTGGTCACATAATCCTCCTTTAAGGTTTTCTTCTTTCATTGAATCTTTAGATCTTTAAAAGGTGAAAGTTAAAGATACTAATGTATCAAATTAATTTCTATTCTGTGATCTAAGTTCCTAGCAATCACTTCCACTTTATTATTTGAAATACCCATCACTACTTTCAGCATCTTTCATGTATCTGATTAAGACTGTGACTCTGGTATCCTTTCAGATGAAAATATATGGCTGTTATTTACTTAGTATCTGTCAGACAGAGAATTTTTGTTGCTGTTGCCTCTCTTTAATATACAAAGGAGAATGGAGAGATAGAAACTAAGGATACCAAGCTATGTGGAAACCAATTTCAGAATATACCCATTTCATTGGAGAGCATTAACTTGATATATAAATACAGATCACATTCACTTTCTGCCTACTGTCTCTCAACTCTACCTTTGTCAAACTTCCCTTTCCCATTGGATCTTAACTTAATAGCATGCCATTTTTACATAATTTTCGAAATCTGCAGTCTCATTGAAGACTTAGTGTACTTCATATTAAAATTTCAGCCATAAGCTTGATATATCCTGTACTCTTCTCACTTCCTTACAGGGCAAAATAGACCTTAATCTTTGGGGTGGGAGAGGCGAGTAGTTTCTTGACCTTTTCCCCCATGGTATGGAGTCTGAAAGGAGTAGGGTAGGCAGAGTTCTGTGTGCTGTCCCAGTGTTGGTTGGCCATCATTTTTGACTTCTACACTACTACTCTGTAGTATAAATGAAGATGACTGGTAGCTCCAACTTACTCTGCTGACATATCAAACCGACTATATGTACATTGCCAGTCCCTCTTAAGATGTGGTGGCTACATCTTCTGTCTAAACCTTGATGACACTGACGCTATGTAGGAAGTTATCAAACTTTTAGGGCAGTTCCAAGTTTTCAAAAATTCTAATATTCATGCTAGAGAGATGGCTCAGCAGTTAAGAACACTGGCTATTCTTGCAGAAGACCCGGGTTTGAATCCTAGCACCCACGTGGCAGCTAACAACTGTCTGTAACTCCAGTCCCAGGGGATCTGACAGCCTCTTCTGACCTCCTCAGGCATTGCATGACATGGGTGCACTTACCTACATGCAGGCAATACACGCATACACATAAAATAAAAAAAGAGAAATAAAAAAAATTTGGCCGGGCGTGATGGCGTACTCCATGAATCCTAGTACTCGGGAGGCAGAGGCAAGCGGATCTCTGTGAGTTTAAGGCCAGCCTGGTCTACATAGTGAGTTCCAGGACATCTGGGGCTACAGGGAGACCCTGTCTCAAAAAGACCAAAAAAAAAAAAAAAAATCTAATATTCGCTAGAAATCTTGAAATGTTATCATTGACAACATATGTCACTTGAAATAACCAGTTCCCTTCATATAGTGTCAAACAAAATATATGCAACATACTCACATGTGAATAATCATACTTCATCAGTTATCCCAATGTTTCAGGAAAAAAGCAGCTAAATCCTTTAGCTTGCAAATTAGGCAGGTGTACAAATACTGTTAAGTTAATCTTCAGTTATGAAGAGGGAGGTACTTTGTGTCAGCTTTACCATTTTATCATATAAAAATAAAAAAATAGTGAGGGATTAATAAATAATGAAATTACACCATTTAACTGGTGGCATGAAACTATTTTTCACTTGGGAATACAGAGAATATGAAGACTAGTAATGCAACTTCATACCATTACCTTGATTCATGTGAAGGTGCTAGCCCCATGTTTTTACCCACTGTTGCTTTTATCTGATTAGTTGAAATATCAGTAAGTGGAAAGTGCAGATAGCATCTTAGTACCATTCTGAAAATAGTGTCCACGTTGTAGAGCTTTTGAAATGATCTTGAGAACACCTCAACACCCTTACCAGGAAATCTGGGACCTAGACTCAGAACTAATGCACTAAGGCTAGGGATGTAGCTTGGTGGTAGAGTACTTGCTTCAACTATGCATGAGGCCCTGCTACAGTGCTACAGCTGGCTCACTGCACTACATAGAAACCAGTGAAGATACATTCAGACATATACTGCTATGTTTAAAGTCCTTAAGAAACTTGATTGTGTGGTGAACCATAATTACAGGCATTGGAATATAACTTTTGAACCAGCCTTAATACCTGATACCTAATACCTACATGCCAGACAAAACAGGTAGTTTATAGAAGTCTACTATACAAGACTGGTAGTCTTCTAGAAAAACCTTTTGTAAAGGACCTCTCCTTACTAGGAAAGCAGATTCCTCAGGAAATAGTCTGATATCAATTCAGTTCCTTCTTGTTCCTGTGGCTCAACAAAAGACAACAGTGTTCTTTTACCTTCCCTACTAGAGGTAAAATTTCTGCTAAGATTCTGAGATTTGTGCTTTTGACTACTTAATTACAGGTCTATCTAGATGTTATACAGCTCTTATGTATTCAGCCCACAAAAAAACCCCAGTTATATGTACTTTCTTTGAATCTTCATAAAGTATCATGACTTTTCATGAGAGAAATGTCTTCACACATACTTTTCAAGTTTACTTCAAGTGATAAAGTCCGTATTTCATCATCATTCTTCAGGTATATAGGACTACTTTGATGGACAGTATTGTTTCTTTGTGTTCTTTTTTTATGTCTTGCTATTCTTTTCTGTATCCTTTTTTTTTGTTATGAGCCTTAAAGCATTTTCAGAAGAAATCAAATTTTTCATAGACCCTAATCACTTTAGCACTATAGTGTATCTTCTACCGATCTTCATTGTTACTTTCTTAATTCTAAGGAAAAAGTAGAAGTGTTAGGTTCATCTGAGAATAACCTCCAAAAGGGTGTCTTCACTTAAGAATCCCTCACATTAAAGCATTTGGCCCCTATTTTTGTTAGTTTTAGAAGCCTACTATGTACCAGTCTTATATATAGCTTTCTAACCCAAATCTATTAACCAAAGCTCTTTTATTTCAGAATATTATTTTTTCATCCTTTCTTTTCCCAGACAGGATCTCACTGTAGCTCAGACTGGCCTTGACCTCGCAATCCTCCTGCATCAGCCTCCAAGTGCTATATGATAACAGCTGTGTACAATCACTTCAAATTCAGAATACTATTCTTAAAATCATACATAGATTTCCCTTAGACAAAGAATGACAAATTTATGTCATTAGGTGACAAATTTATAGTTATTAGAAAGAATGGCCTCCAAAAGGCAGGCGGGAAAGATTAAGTCTGCCTGGGGGCATTTTGGAAAGGCTGTAGAAGAAATGAAATAGATGAGCTAGATCTTCAGAGATGAGCTGAATTAGTCTGATAGAGAAAGACCTATTGGTACAAGGTTTAATTCTGGGGGAAAAAAAGTATGTAATTCATAATTACTAGAAATTTGGATGTCTAATTATTTAGAATATAGACCTTAAATTAAAACCAAAATAGATTTATTTGAAGTATGCTCATTAGCACTGTGACACCTTGCTGAGTGAACTAGGACTCATGGGTTCCTCTATTAGGATAAGTTATTAGATAAGTTAGCATTCAGTGTAAGCACTCAGTGTAAGTTTTACTTCACACTTAATGGAAGTTTGGGTGCTTTATA